CTGGAACCAATTCCTAGAAGATTAACAGGAACTCAAGAAACCACTGTCCTCACTGTTTCTCTTTTTCTCTTGTCGTCTTCTTCCTATAGCCACTTGTGCTCTTATATCTGTTTCTCTGTATGTCAGTGACATTTTCCTTCTCCTCTCCCCTCTCCTCCTCTTCCCCCCCCCCCCCCCCCCCCCCCCCCCCGCTCCTTATTCTCCTTCCTTCCTTGTTCTTCTCTTCTCCCTTCCCTCTCTGCAGAGCAGCTTTCTTAACTGCACTGCATGTGGTCCAAATAGGGCTCAATGAGGCCCAGTTTTCATTGTTTCTCAGGAACAATGCCTGACAAAGGCTGGGCCCTGATCCCAAATTCCGAGGAGAGATATTCTTATTAGCCAGCATGGTGTGATAGCCACCCCTGCTCCAACCAGTTATATTTAAGAGCATGGGGTAGCGATTCCATGCTTACTCAATAAAGGCAGTGGGGAGTGCTCTATAAAGGGGCCTATGTGGGATGGGGATGGGCCCTTGACTAACATGTTCATGTTAACCTCTTGGACAGTCCATTAGCCTATGTCCACACAGGGAAGAGTTGCCAGAGATTTGACCAAGGCCATGAAGAAAAAGAGTTATTTGTGTGGTTTGAATCACCATTACAGATGCTCAGGGGTTTGGCGTGTCCTCAGTATCCTTATACCTGGGTGGAAGTAGGTACTGGCAGAAGCGAGGTGGAAATCAGATCTAAGCATTTGTCGTTCCTACATGCAAACTGGGTACTAATAAGACCCTTTTCTCTTCAGCCTTTAGAAAGAAACTTGAGGTTCTCTTGGAGACTATTCAAGAGGAAGGTGGAAGGGGCCGCCTAAAAGAGATTAAAAGCTGCAGACCGCAAGCCTGGGGCCAGAGGGCTGGCAGTGGAAAACCCTGCTGGGTTGTGACCTCTCCCTGAAAAGTTCTAGGTGCCTTTTTGCTTCCTGCAAAAAAAAGGAAGAGAAGGAGAAGACCATGTCCATAGCCTTGAAGCAGGTGTTCAACAAGGACAAGACCTTCAGGCCCAAGAGGAAATTTGAACCTGGCACACAGAGATTTGAGCTCCACAAACGGGCTCAGGCATCCCTCAATTCAGGCGTGGATCTGAAGGCGGCTGTGCAGCTGCCCAGTGGGGAGGACCAGAACGACTGGGTGGCGGTGCACGTGGTGGACTTCTTCAATCGGATCAACCTCATCTATGGCACCATCTGTGAGTTCTGCACCGAGCAGACCTGCCCTGTGATGTCGGGGGGCCCCAAATATGAGTATCGGTGGCAGGATGACCTCAAGTACAAGAAACCAACTGCCCTCCCAGCTCCTCAGTACATGAACCTTCTTATGGATTGGATCGAGGTGCAGATCAACAATGAGGACATATTTCCAACCTGTGTGGGTAAGTCTGTGACCAGCTTCTTGCTTATTTTGCTGCATCCCACCCAAGCTCAGAAAGTTTGCAGAGGCTTCTTCTAGGACTGTCTCTAAATGCTGGGGAACACCTATTGGTATTTCCCTAAATTCCACTATACCAGCAGTGTCTTTTTCCACATCTAAGATACCTCCTTGAAATTTAAAAAAACAAAACAAAAAAACCCACCAAAACACCAAAAAACCATTTGTGAACTACTTACAGTTATTTTGTGGGCCTCAGTGGTACACATTCCACATGTTAGGGAACATTGCCTTGGTGAGATGTTAGATTTGATCTTGCTGGCTTCCTTAGGACTAGACTCCAAACCCACCCAGTTATCCTGGTAGAATTTTCATTTTTTTGGCTAATTAGTTAAAGTTTCATTAACTCTGGTGCATTTATTGGTATTCGTCTCTCAGGTTAGGGAATCCCAGTGTGAGACTCCATGTGCTTGTTTGGGGATGAAGCAAACAGGGGTTGGCATTCTGGGGAAATAGTGATCCTGGCATTCTGTTCTGCCCACTCCTGATCATTTGTTATTAATTCCAGGCTGTACTGTTAACTGTGGACTCTTATGTAAGCTGCTGGACCCACTAGGACACTTGAAATGCAAATGCTTTCATTTGCTTGGTGTTCTGAGCCATAAAACTCTTCAAGGGGAAGGACCAAACCTTATCTCCCTTTTATATTTCTTTATGCTGCTGATAATTGGATTTTCCATGCACTGACAGGCTGAATTTAAAATTCAGGTTTTGTTTTGTTTTGTTTTTTTAGGCCTGAGATTCAATAGGAATGAGCACTCTCCTACTTCCACTCTTGTGTTTCCAGTATCTAACACGGTGCCCTGGAACCTTTGTAGGCACTCAGGAACTATTTGTGGAATGATTGAGAAAATACTTGTGCTGTTGGACAGTAGTATTAAAAAGCTCTGAGATGGTTTGGGATATAAAAGAAGCATTTGGAACACATTGTTGAAATCCCCTCTAGATGGGATGTGTGTGTCTCCATGTGGCATATGGGAAGTTGAGGTGGGTGTGGGGGGGTATGGAAGTAATTAAGCTAATACCAGGGGGGAGAAAAGTGTATACATTGCATGTACATCTTGAAATATTCAGCACGCAAACCAATTTGCTCAGAATCACCCTGCTGCCTTGCTTGTCCAGCTCTCGCCTGCTCTTGCTCTGTGCTGTTCCTTGCTAAGGAAGGAGATGGTGTGTGTGCTTGTGCAAACTCCCTGAGCTCACCAGCACAGGAGGAAGAAGGCAGGGTTCCAAAACTCCCCCAGCCATGTAACAGGCACCACAGGGGGATGGGACGTTCTTAGGTTCATATCTTTTTGTACTTTCATTGACTGTCAGAGGCTTCTTTTGTTGCTAGGAGGAATTTCGCCAACTGCCAATGCTCTGTGCAGAACATGTGATAGCAATAAAGATAAATAAATGTGGGCAAGGATACGTCCTCTTCGTCTTTCGCCTTCTGTTTCTGCTCCTTGGTGCTTTGAACTCTGGGCACTTCTGCTGTCTCTGGCAGCTGTGGCTACCACACAGAGTTGGTGACCAGAAATAACATCGCAGAGCCATGGTGTGTTACTTGAGAGTAAGGAAGCTTCTGGCAGTCGGCTTGGAAACTAGGACATCATAGATGGTTTTAGACTTTACTTGGAGGAAATCAGCGGATGCCGCCATGTCCCCCAGAGTCACTGACTTTGCTTTTTCCAGACATTTCCTTAGCCATTCAGTGGACTTGCAGAATATACTCACCTGGTCAGAATCCTCTGTTTCAGCTCTGCCCAACCTTTGCTCCATAGTACATAGTTCTGAGAGACCTTAAGAGGTGCACTGTGCTTTTTTTTTTTTTTTGTCCATGGGAAATAAGTTGGGAACTGCTGAATGAAAACAATTTCTTTACTGCAGGACTTTTAATATGCTAATGTGCATTATAAATCTCTGAGAAAGGAATACTTTAATATGTAGTATTTCCTAATTTGAACCTGTATCTTTTTTTTTTTTTTTTAATGAAGCACCATTAGCATCTTTGGGGAAATGTTAATCTATATAAGTTGGAGTTGTCAAACATTTGTTTGTTTTAGAATTACGTGGGCCTTCTTTTCAAAATGCAAATTCTTTGACCTTCCCCCAACTAAATCAAAATCTCTTAGATGAGACCAAAGAATCTGCACTTGTACTAAGCACCTGCCACTCCTCTGTTTATTTTAACTGCCCAGAATGCTTTTCATTCCCCCTCAAAAACAGTCTGTATCTTACCTCTCTGGTTTTATCTGTCTTGTTTTCTCCTTCTGGAATCCCCCATCTTCTCTAACTAGTGAATTTTCCTGCATCCTTTATACCATGTCCTCTGTGAAGGCTTTCACCCATTAGAATGTAAGCCCCTTAAAGTTATGGAATGTCTTTTATTCATTTAAATATTTCAGTACTAAGTCCAGTCTTGGTGGCTTACAAGTTATTGAATGGATGGATAGACAGATTGATGGATGGAAGGATGAAGGAAAAAATAATCTTTATAAAGTCCCAACATGTCTGTAGTGCTGGTGATCAAAATTTAAACAGAACCTCTGAATCCCTTTATCACCCTCCTCAGTATATCCTGCACCTTGCCTTCATAGAGTTTAATTTTCTCTGTTTAATTTTTCCAACGTGAAATGTTAGAGGTCAGTAAAAACCACTGCCATCCACCATTACCCTAAAGGTCTTCATCAGCATCCTGCTCACCTCTGTCATTTGCCCTTGGATTAAATTGTTTCTATCTTTTGAAAAAAACTTATCTTTAGGAGCCACTTTCTCTGTTAGAATTCATTTCCTCCTCTTCTTCCTCCCCCTGATTCCAGCCTACTTTTCATCTTTTTGATCTTTGTCTGCCGTGAGTCATTATCATGGAAATGATCAAGATGTCTGTCAGGATAAAGTAAAAGAAGAATTCTCTGCAAACAGCAGACCCTGGGTAGATGAGAAATGGGAAGTTCTGCTTAGCATTATGGCTTTGGATCCCAGGCATATTTCTGTGTTCTTGCCTGGGAATTGGGAGGGGTTCAGACTTCACCTCCTCCCCACTGTGATCCAAGGAAATAGGACCGGAAAATACTGACAGATGTGAAGGCTTCACCCTCAGTTAGGTATTAAAGCATATAAACAGCTGTTGATCTCTGCCATTGAAACATGGGGGGAAAGAAAAGCTTTCATCTGTTCCTGGATCCTAGTTTAACTAGGATACCCATACTATTTTGAAGTCGAGTGTTCTCAGTTGGGAGCATACCAAACAGATGTGGCTCCCTCGTGAACCATAGTCTCCTCCACTCCCCGTTGATCCCCTTCAGCTTCCTTTGTGAAAAAGTCAACAGATGTCCCTGTGAAAGCTTCTAAGACAGCAGTAACTTTAGAAGCAGAGGCCTCCTCCTCTTCCATTGTATCTCTTCAACCACTTTTAGAGATAACAGCAGAAAAATAGCTACATCCTTCTTCTTTATTCTATTGCCTGTCTAGTTAACAATAATTTTCATGTTCTAGCCCTCAGCTTCTCTGTTTTTCTGTTATATAATAGGACGTAATATCTTAGTTCTAACACTAAGGAAAAAATGAGCGGAAAACTTAGAGCTCCTCCAACTCATGTTTTTAAAAAGTCTCTGAACAGGAGGATTAAGACATTTAAAAATTAATTACATGATCTCACCTACCTTTATGGTTTTAGAATAGATGGGTGTCAGGGAAGGAGAGAGCAGGGAAGGAAAGCGAGAAAGGCGAGGGAGGGGACTCACGTCTCTTGACCTTGCTAAGAGCAAGCTGTTAATCTTTCTTAATTCTTGCAATAACTAAATTAATTAAATATTCCATTTTACCACTGAGGATGCTGACATTTAAACAAGCTCAGGGGCTTTCCCAAGGTCGTACAGCTAATAAGTCATTCAGAAGTCAGAGTTTGGGTTCAAGAGTAGTGAAAAATCCATGCCCTTGTCCCCCCCTACCATTCATAGCATGAATCTTTATTTTGCAGATTTTCCTTCACATGGCTAAAGATTTCTCAATCAGTGGTTCTAGGAGGTTGTCTAGGATGGAGAAAATTTTACAAAACCTGATTTTGTTATAACTTTTAAGGAAGTGATTTTTTTTATTTGTTTGTTTTATTTTGTTTTGTTTGCTTCTTTTTAAAAAATCACCACCGAAATGCCTGGAGTGTGTGTCCAGGCACTGTAACTGTTTCCATGTTACATTCCAAGATTGGGGAAGGTATGACTTAGCCTCATGAAAACACTTTGTGAGCCTGTAATGATCTATTACTACCATTCGTTCGTTCATTCATTCATTCAATGACTGCTTGTCAAGCACCTGCTCGGAAGCAGGCCCTATTTTAGGCACTGAGAGAGCAAAGCAGAGTTCATGTCCTTGAGCAGCTTCCATAATGTCCAGAATGTCTGGTTGCTCTGTACGGTTTTCTACAATGAGTAGTTTGTTCAGTGGTCAAGTGCATTGTGGAAATAGTCGCATCCCTTTGGCATGAGGCTACAGCTGAGTTTCATCCTCTCTCAAAATATTGTGGCAGGAAACGTGAGACTATAAAAATGTCCATGGGGAGAACTTTTCAGACATGAGGTGTCAGGGAACTGGGTTTATACTTAGGCTTTAAATTTTAACTTTTTTTTTTTTATTGTAGGTCTCCCTCATTTTTTAGTTTTGATATAAATCTGTATAACACTGGTAAGACAGAACATACATCAGCAAAATGTATTTACCGTGTGGTAGAACTAGCATTGGACTTGCAGAGACTTGAATTAATTCAAGGAGCTCTGCTCTCGCGAGGTGTTCTATGACGTTGGTAAACACATAATTGCTGAGCTTACACGTTTCTGTTTGTAAACTGACAACTGTAATTCAATCTCACAGGACTTTTGTAAGGATTAAAGGAGGCAGTGTGAGTAGAAACAACCAACCAGAGCCATAATCACCTCTAAGTGGTGCTGAGAAACAAATGTGTTC